TAAAAAAAAAAAAAAAGATGATAAAGTGTAAATATGTGGAAGAACTTTCTGGAGCAGGACAAGACAGTGACCTCCTTCTGTTTGCTATTCAATAGATGATGAAGTTTTGGGACCCTGAACCCCAGCACCTATTGAAATGAAAATGTATCTAACCCATTGCAAAAACTGGCAAAGTCCACCTAAACCACTCTTTAAATTCAATTTTAAGCAGACTTTTGTATTTTGTTGATTTTTTTCATATAGAAAGTTGATTAAACATCTTATTACCCAGAAAAAAAAAAAAAAAAATATGTTGATTTTTCTGTGGTATAGTTTAAATTTCCTAAACGTAGCTTCTTAGATTTTGTTTACATTTTAATAAAGTTTTTTTTGGTGCAAATGCCTTATCAGTTCTTGCTGTCTAGATTCATCATATACATCTTTGTATATCAAACTAATATTTAAATATCTTGTATTTTACAAGAAACTTACCCAATTTCTTGCACTTTATATTTTTCTTCACCCCGTCCCCTTGTAATGCCTGAATTTTCCAAAAAATTAATAAAGGTTTGAAATTACATTCTTTGCTTAACATTTGACAAGTCAATATGTTCCTGTCTTTCTTTACAACTCAGTGTACTATAGCATTCATCGTTTCCTTATTGATTCACATCCTGGTGCTGTCCTGTTGTTGTTCTCTGGTTATTGCTGGCTGCTAAGGTTGCAGACCACCTCTCTGTACAATGAATTCATCTATGAGTTTCAGTGGAACTGCCAGGAAATGTTTCTACTCTTTACTACTACTACTAACACCACTGTTCTATATAAGCCATTCTGTGCTTTGGTTTATTTTTTACCCTTAAGGGAAAATCACTGTATTTATTATTTTAATATTATACATTTATATGAGCATAATATTTCAAATTCAGGTAATTCTCAACATATGTTGTCTTTCTCTTACTATATCTTCCCTCTGGAATTCTCCTTTAATCCTCTTAAGGGAGAATTCTTGACAATTCCACATCTATGATTTTGTGTTTTTACAGTTACTTATGTACTTGCTGGATTGTTCATGTTTTACTAGACTGTGTTGTGGATTAACTTTCATTATGATTTACAGATGATTGTTTTTCAATATCTGTTATGGAATATAACTGCCATGCACCAGATGTTAATGTTGAAAATGCCTGTTCTACATGGGTACAGATAGTTTTGTTATTCTTACAGTAGCATTTACTCAAATTCTTCCTTACTCATGATTTTTTATTTTGCAATTCTGAATTGCCACTTATCTTCTTCATTAGAAAACTGTATTTAGGATTACTTACCATTACACTGCATAGGTCTGTGCTTTAACATTTTAAACAATATTTATGCTTCAGTATGCTTTAATTTTTTTTTTTTTTTTTTTAATATGGGCCAGCTACATACCTTTGCCAACTAGTGTGTGCTTTAGGATTGTGGCCTTCTCTTAGGGCTTACATTTTTACATAGTGTAAGTGGTATGGTCATAGAGTATTTGAAACTTAGCTTCTGTGAAAATCATTTGAATTACATGTAATCATCCTTTCTTTATTGAGGAATGGTATTAATTTTGTGTTCCTAATCATTAGAAGTCCTTTGGGTAGAAGTTTCAAAACTGTTAATTATAAATATTCTTGTTAACGGAAAATTATGTTTTTCAGTGTAAAATATTTTCCAACTGATGTTAATAGGAAGCTTATGGTTCTTTATATCTTTTAGATGTCTTTTCTACGTCTGTAATCAAGGAATTATTACCAAAAGAGATCACTAATAAAAGAGAATTATTCCAGAGAGTGATGTTGGAAAGACATGAAAATCATGGTGCTGAGGATTTTGACTTCAGGCACGTCAAAGAAAATATACTTGAGTTTGAAAGTCAGTGGGGAGATGATGAAAGAAATGACAAAGCAGTGATTATAACCCATAACAGAACTCTCAATGCCTTTTACAGTGGTTCAAACCTCACTAAACATCAAAGAATCCATACTAGAAAGAAACTATATAAATGTAATGTATGTGGGAAGGTCTTCAGTCTAAATGAACATCTTGAAGCTCATTTGAGAATACATATTGGAGAGAAACCTGACAGGTGTAATGTTTGTAGCAAAGCCTTTAACTTTGGCTCAAACCTGACTAGACATCAGAAAATACATACTGGTGAAAAACCACATAAATGTAATACATGTGGCAAGACCTTTAGTCGACATTCAGGCCTTACAGCTCATCAGAGAATTCATACTGGAGAGAGACCTTACAGATGTATTGAATGTGGTAATGCTTTTATCCGAAGATCAAAACTAGTAGAACATCGGAAAGCTCATGCTGGAGAGAAACTTTACACATGTAATGTATGTGGAATATCCTTAACTAAAGGCTCAAGCTTAACCAGACATCAGAGAATCCATACTGGTGAGAAACCATATAAATGTAATGTATGTGGCAAGGTCTTTAGTCGAAATTCAGGCCTTATAACTCATGAGAGAATTCATACTGGAGAAAGGCCCTACAAATGTATTGAATGTGGTAAGGCGTTTATCCAGAGAACACACCTTGTGCAACATGAGAGAATTCATACTGGAGAGAAACCTTACCAATGTAATGAATGTGGGAAGGCTTTTACCCAAAGAGCAAACCTTACAGAACATCAGAGAATTCGTTTGGTGCAGAAATCTTACAAATGTAATGTGTGTGGCAAAGCCTTTAACTCTGCCTCACTCCTCACTACACATCAGAGAATTTGTACTGGTAAGCAACCATATAAATGTAATGTATGTGGCATAAACTTTAGTCAGAATTCAAATCTTACAATTCATTTGAGAATCCATATGGCAGAGAAACCTTACAAATGTATTAAGTAGCAAAAGCTTTTAACTGGGGCTCAGTCCTCACTAAAAAAAAAAAAAGTTGCCAAGTCGATTCTGACTCATAGCAACCCTATAGGACAGAGTAGAACTGCCCCAACACCAGAAAATTTATATGGGAGTGAAATCGTAAATGCAGTCTGTAATGCAAGGTCATTATTTAAAGTTTGCAGCTTGTAAATAGAGAATTCATTTTGGAAACTTGCAGATGTTTTATATCAGGTAAGCTTTTATCAAGCATTTACACGTTTGAGGTCCAGAGAGAATTCATATTGGAGACAAGCCTTATAAACAATTTGGTAAATCATTTTTCCAATCTCACAATTACTGTATTTTTTCATAAATGAAGGGCGTACACATATAATGAGCGGAAATGATGAAATTAAGTACAGTAATTCTGGAATAGCACACTCATGCATATACTGTGCATTTCTGATGACATTTCCAGAAGTGAATTTTGTCCTAATCACCAGTCCTGCCATATTACTGATAAATCATATTATTCTGTTCATTTTCTTTAATCTCCTGCTTATGCGTATAAAAATAGTCCAAAAATGTTACTTTTGATCATAATTGTATAATAATCCTATAAGGCATGATCAAGAACTTATGGATCATGTTTGGTAGTCCACTGGTAATAGGAGAATAAGCAATTGGAACTGTGTGTGTGTTTTTATAAATTTTAAGTTGATATTATATTGAATTAACTCGACAGCTGAATGTGAAAACATTATCAGATTGCTTTAGGTTGCGTTCCAAAACCTGTTGTCATCAAGTCGATGCAGACTCATAGCAACCCTGTAGGACTTAGTAGAAACGCCCCATAGGGTTCCCAAGGCTATAATCTTTACAGAAGCAGACTGCCACATCTTTCTCTCGCGGGGTGGCTTGTGGATTTGAACCACCGACCTTTCAGTTCACAGCTGAGGGCTTTAACCACTGCTCCACCAAGCCTCCTTTAGGTTATGTTAGGTCTGCTTATTTCATAGTTTAATTATATCTTCTCAGTATCAGTGTCTTTGATCAATGATAATAAATCACCTTAATCACATGTTTGGGAGCACTAACCTATATAAAAGGACTCTTGCGTCTTGTATACCTCACATTTGAATTTTCCAATCTCTGCTAGAATCAGTTTCTGATAACATATTGTGCGTATTTTTTCAGTTTATATGCCTAAATCTTAGTTTTCTGAGAAAAACAATGCCATCTCAGCTTTAGTAAATTTTCCAAAGTTGAGGGTAAGATCTCTTAACTGCCTTGTTTTATAGTTGTGATACAGGTCTTATTCTAAAATGAACTGATTAACCATAGGTACACAACCTTTCCTAAGTTTTCTGCATAGGCTAAATTAACACACACAAAACCAAACTCTTTTCCATCTAGTGAATTGTGACTCATAGCGACCCTATAGGACAGATTAGTATTTCCAAGGAACGGCTGGTAGGTTTGAACTGCTGACCTTTTGCTTAGCAACTGCGCTCTTAACTACTGCACCACCAGGGCTCCAAACTAACATGGGCCCATGTTTTGTTTCCTGAACTCTTTAAGATCATGCCAGGAATTAAATGCAAGTCTTACACCATTGACTTCAAACTGGAAGTTGTTGCGAGGGCAGAAGGAATGTGCAACAGGGCAGCAGAGGGAGAATTCAAGGTTGGAAAGTCATCCATTCCCAAATGCAAAAAAGAAAGAGGAGCTGGAGAAAAATGCATTTGCAAAAATGTGCACATCATGGGCCCAAAGCAAAATGGCCTTAGCTGGAGAGTGACTTGAAAGAGTGGATTCTTTCTCAAGAACAAGATCAAGCTGTCTCTACGGTTGCAGCTCAGATCAAAGCAAAAGTTCTGGCAAATGAAAGAGGAATCCCAGATTTCAGTGTGAGTTTCACCTGGATTTCTAAATTCATGAAAAGGAATGGCCTTTCTGTGAGAGTGAGAACCACTGTAGGCCAGTGGCTTCCAGATGACTGGGAGCAAAAGATGGTTGACTTCGGTGGATTTGTCACCAAATAAAATCTGTGAAGTAGGTATCTCTGCAATGGACATAATTAATATGGACAAGGTTCTGCTGTCTTTCCACATTTTGGCCACCATGACTGTAGCTGCTTCAAGTACAAAAACTGTAGCCATTACATATAATCACTGGGCACAAGGGGGCTTGCTTCACTGTAGTCCTTAGTTGCACTGTAAGTGTGGTGAAATTAAAGCCAGCAGTGATTTTTAAGAGAATTACCATGCCCCTCACAAAACTTCCCACCGGTGTGGCTGTTCATTGTAATAACAAGGGATAGATAGACTGTGACATTATGAGAGTATGGGTAGATAAATGTTGTAAGGCTAGGCAGGGTGGATTCTTTTTGAAGAAGTCTTTACTAATTTTTGATTCCATGGCCGCCCACAAAGAAAAAAATGTTCACAATTATATTAACTGGTGCCCACTATCAATCATATCTAGTGGCCTTACCTGCAAGCCCCAGCCATTAACCATCCATTCAAGACTTTCATCAGAAGAGAGTGGAATGGATGGATGCAATCTGGGGCTTACAAGTTCACACCATCAGGATAACTGCAGTAGGAACCATTTACAAGTCTGCAAGTGGGTGGCATCTGGGGGAAAATAACTCCAGAAACCATCTGCAACAGCTTCAGAAGGGCTGGGATTGTATACCAGCAGAATGAAGAACAACTGAATACCGATGACAAAGATAAAGATGCCAAAGGCAGCAACAATGATGGCATCAGTTCAGAAGTCACAGAAGAGCATCTGCTGGCAGCTCACGATACTTCAGTGGTGATAGTGATGAGGGATCTGACTTTGAAGGCTTCCAGGAGTTGGATGATGATGATAATGAATAAACTAAAATGGCCTATTTTAAGATGAAAACTCAGTTTTTCCTGGAGACTTATTTGTTGAATTCAGAGACTGATTATTCTAAATTGTGTTTCAGTTTATGAAAGCAGTAAAATATTAAAAACATCTTGTTTTTCAGTTTTAGGCCTAGGATCATTTCTTACTTAGGAATTTGTGGTTCTTTGTGCATTCATACTCTTTGGTTTCAACATGGCATCCCACTGGTCCATTCACAAGAATGATGACAGTGTTTTATCAGGAAATTACAAAAGTTAAATTTTATATCACTTTTGACCTACTGGTAAATACTTTTGGTTGAATTTCAAGTGGTATAAAATCAATATCTACCTTAAGTGAAGTTTCCATGTGATCAGAAATAGAAATTGAAGTCAGCACCATGGTAAAAAAAAAAAAAAAAAAAAAAAATTGGCATAGTCCACTTACAAAAATAATGCATGGGCAGGATTGCACAGTTGGCAAATAAAAAAATGTATAATATGTGTGTTATTTGCATAAAGATATGATATACATCATAATTTATACTAGGGAGAACTAAGTCTCTAAATATAAATCAGCCTCAGATGTTATATTCCAGATTATAATTAAAGGTCAAAATCTCTTCAAACTCAGGAGGTGTGTGTCAATGGAACAATGATGTGGAAAGATCCATTTATCTTAATTCAATAAAATATTTTCAGTTATTTGAGGTTTCTTGACAAGGCTACATTACTATTCATGACTTTCTACCTAAGGTTTCAAATCTTGCCATTGTGGCTTCATTACTAACCTTTTGCATGTCACCATGATGGTCTCTGATAAGTGATGAATGAGATTACAGGTCTCCTTCATTAGGTGTGTGCAGTGCAGTGAATAACTTAGATATGTCTGACCTCCATCTTATAGGAATCCACCTTGGGCTCACACTGATAGTGATGGAGGTCAGACTCCGCTAAACTATTTTTTACAGTAGGGATCATTCATATCCATGTACCCTAAAAGAACAAGGACCTCGATTTTTAACATACATTGTTGTTAGTTGCCATCAAGTCAATTCTGACACATGGTGACCCCATGTATGCAGAGTAGAACTGGTTATAGAGTTTTGAAGGCTGTGACCTTTAGAAAGCAGACAGCCAGTCCTGTCTTCCAAGGTGCCGCTGGGTGGTTTCAAACTGCCAACCTTTCGGTTAATAGTGGAATGCTTAACTGCCACCAAGGACTCTGTAGCATACATTACGATGATAATTTGAATGAGAGTATGGGGAGGGGTGAAGAATCGATGTAAAACAATGACTAAATCATCACAATAAGTGTGTTCAGAGCCACCTTCAACAGACTGTTGTTATGAGTAATAGGAAAGGATTATTCTACCAAAAGACCATGAAATAAAGCAGGCCAGGACATTGAGGGTCAGACATTTTCATGGGAGCAGATAAGTTAATAAAGACAGTTCATGTAGAAATACTGGAAGGCTATTGATGGTTACCTCATGTGGATTGCAATAGCTGTTGTATATCGAAGTTGAATGAAAAATTAGTCTTGGAAACTGAAGTGAAAGCAGTTATTGGGGGAGAGTTTAATCAAAAGAACCAAAATGTATGTGTTGACTTCACATTTAACCACTAGCACTGCATTTTGCTACTGTTTTATTCATAATGTATCATAGGTGTTAAGGTTTCTGGGTAGTGCAAACAGTTTACCCTTGATTACTAACCAAAAGATTGGTGGTTGTCTTAGTTATCTAGTGCTACTATTCTACCAACAGTCTCTCCAAGACAATCTAGGCTTTTATTATTAGGCATCTTAAAACTATTCTGGTCTCCACCCATTACTCAATTCATAACCACTTCTACATAGTAGGTAGAGCAGCACCCTTACTTCTAGGTACCAAAGTTTATCTTAGTTATCTAGTGCTGCTATAACAGAAATACCACAAGTAGGTGGTTTTCACAAACAGAAATGTATATTATCACAGTGTAGGAGGCTAGAAGTCCGAAATCAGGATGCCAGCATTAGGGAAAGCTTTCTCTTGGCTTTGGGGAAAGGTTGTTGCCGTGTCAGCTTGGTTCCTTGGAGATCACTATGTGGCTTGGCATTTATCTTCCTCTATCTCCACTTGCTCACTTGCTTGCTTAATCTCTTTTATATCTCAAAAGATTGACTCAAGATACACCCTACATTAATCCTGTCTCATGGTTTCTGCCACTCCTACTGCTGCTTTAAGCGGGCCAAATGCGGGCCTTGCCTGGTGTGCAAGGAAAGCCAGTGACCAAGACACCGGCCTTTGGGAAATTGAAAGCAACATGTGTTGCGCGCTGGCAAGCAAAGAGCCAGGAGAAATTTTCTCAGATCAGGCTTCCTCCTCAAGGGGTGTGCTACACATTTCTGGGGCGGCAGAATAAGGACATTATACATATTCTTTAAATTTATGGGGAATCATGCATAATAACAGTGAGGCGGGGGAAGATCTCTGGGTCAGATGCTGGTGTCGGATGTTTTCCCTCAGTTTTGTACTGCAGCACTTTGGTTCCTTCCAGGCTTTTAATGGCACTTTTCTGGAGAAGTCATCTGGAGGACACACGTTGTCTGTCCTGTGCATGCATTGCAGTCCACAGCTGGTCTTCACAGGTTTTAGCCAGTAGTTTCTAACCTAGGCAGGGATTTTCCAGGAAGATCAGAAGCTGAAAAAATATATTTCAGAGTTTCTCGCTTGTCACCCTTACACCGCCGCCATTTCCCTACTGCTCAGCTCTTCTGATTTGTCATTGTTTCTCTGCCACTAGGCCCCGTTCTGGGCCTGATGCTGTCTTCAGTGTTACAGCTCTCTCTTCTGGGTCTATGAGGTTCTCAGCACAGGAACCCCAGGTCCAAAGGACTAGCTTGTTCCAGACTCTTCTTGATGATAATGGGGTCCCCCTCAACCTTTGTGGGGTTGGCCACTTATAAGCAAACTCCTTGTCAATTTCAAGGTGTGGCCCTCCCAGCAGGCCCCCTTGAAAATCACAAGTCAGACAATCCTTTTGGGTGGATTTTCACACCACTATTTAAATAGCAAATAGACCAGTCCCAGCTAGGTGGGTAACATAGAACAATCACAGGGCAGACTGTTACCCAAACAATCATTTGTGACAGAATTACAAACCCAGGACCAGAAAGGCCATATATAAGAAAAACCCATTTCACTGCACCATCCCACGTCTTGATTCCCTGTTCCCAGCCACTTCTGTGGTCATTCCTCTCTCTGACCCTTACTTACCACTAAGAGTTTGATCAGACTTTACCCCCGGCTACCTTAGACCAGGTCAAAACATCCCTGGCCACCCAGGGCCAGGGTATCATGGACCAGGCATAGACTTAGGAGTCTGCACAACTCCGTGCAATTCAGCCCAGCTCGTCTCCCCTTCTATCCCCCAGTACTAGGTTGCAAGGTAGAAGGACTCTGTCATTCTATAAGTTATCAGATACGATAAGCAACAGTAAACTTTACAAATAAATATAAATTTGAGAACAACAGTAAAATGAACATAACGCTGTCAGGTTAATCAAGAAAAGTAGAACCACTGGAAATTTATGAAAACCTGCTTCATATTTAGAAGAAATATTAAATCACAAAGGAGAATATGTAACTTCATGCCTACATTTGTGTATTTAGGATAAACTGCTTATTTTCTAGGAAAAAAAATTGTGACATATATTGAGAAAAAAAATAACACTCAATAACTCAATTTTACTTTGAAATTATAAGGTAGTAAAAATATATCCCAGATACTGCAAGAAAGTGATTTATTTTAAGGGCAAATTACGTAAACATTTCCAGCAACAAGTAGCTACCAAACTCTGTAATCTCTATGACTATTTGTTAAAGAATTAAGACAATCTCCAGCATTCTGTCTAGTTTATATAATAAGATTTAAAAAATAAAACAGGAAAAATGAAATTTAGAATAAATTCATATTTATATCAAACACATATAAAGAGCAATATAAGCTAAACATTAGCAATTTTAATACACTGGTATGGTATAGTCTTCCAGAAAAGACACAAAATTGCACAGCAGAGTTTATTCTGCCAGTGTGAGAATAGTTCAGTTAGGTGGCTGTGGGGTGAAGAATTTAACTTTGCTCAAAGCAATTTGGTTTTCGTCGTTGGCTCCTGAGAGAGA